GGAGAAAGTAAACCGATCAATGAAAAGAGACCACCTGGCTTGTCTGGGGTTAAGTCTCTTGGCAGTCTGCACGTATTACAAGTTTTTATGATCTGTCCAGGCCAGGTACGGCTGCTTGGAGCCCTCCAGCCAATGTCACCATTCCTCCAGTGCTAACTTAATGGCCAGTAGTTCTCTGTCCCCAATGCTGTAGTTGCTCTCAGCATGGGAGCGACGCCTGGAAAAAAAGGCACAGGGGTGTAACTTCCCCTCCTGAGCAGAGCACTGGGACAGAACCGCCCCTACCCCAGAGTCCAATGAATCGACCTCCATGATGAACATTACTGGATTATACACTATGTGGGAAACAACTACACTACAGTAGATGTCTATCTGACAATATTGTTACCAAATTTAAGGAAAGAATTCCTTCATTTTTTACTTCAGTGCCATGTGCCAAAACAATGAAGGGTGGCCACCTTAACTTTACTTCCACAGAAGTCAATAATCTTATTGATAGTGCTGCAGCCTCTCTGAATAAAACACTTGATACTGTTGCCCCTCGGAAAAAGAAGGCAGTGAAACAGAGGAGGCCCCATGGTACAGCTCGCAGCTCCACTCCCTAAAGCAGGCATCATGAAAACTGGAAAGGAGGTGGTACTCCACTAAGTCAGAAGCGTTTTTCATAGCCTAGAAAGATAGTTTAATAACATAGGTGTGCTAACCCCAGGTCCGCTGTGGCCGTATAAAAGTCTGCGTTACCTGAGCTCTGCTACCTATGCCAGCACTCTTTCTTCAGCTGGTGGAGGTAGAGTCAGCAGGGCTGCAAGCTTAGAGGGCTACACCTATACTCATAGAAGCTTGGGTTACTGTACGTAACCATCATTCTATTTCATATAGGCTTTGCCCTCTAAGAGCTGTCGCTATTGGGATAAAAGCGCAGCTGGATGTAGTCAATGCCCCACTGGCTCACCGCTGCCCAAGAGCATTATAAACAACATCACAGCTTGTCATCATATCTCGCAATAGCAGGCAAAGTACAACACCCCCTTTCCTGCAACAGGCCTTGTCTGAGAAGCAGGCACAATCATGCCCCATATAGAACCTGACTGCCACTGTGAGAAGGCAGGGACGGCGGTTATGTTTGTCAGAGGATAAGTGCAGGGAAGGACGCACAGTAAGCGTGTGCACCTGATAAAACGCACAAAAAGACAACTTGCGGAAGTAGGCAGTTAGTCATAGTTACTCATGGTATAGTCAGATGTTTGAGCAACAAAAGCCAAATATGAAGACATAATGCTGATTGTTGATCACTCACAGCAGTCAGGACTGGCAGACGGGGACAGAAGTGCAAGGAACGGTGCACAGTGAGCGTGTGTGCCCGGAGACAATGCACTAACATGGCTTCCGTTGTGAGAGCAGGGAGACGTTAGCTACGTATGGTAACAGACGGATGCTCGTTCTTTTTTGGGGGGGGGGAGGACAGAAAACAACAAATGAAAAGTGACGTCGGTAGCCAGCCATGGTCATGCAGGTAGGGCTGACAGCGGGGGACAGAAGTGCTGGGGAGGGCGCACAGAGAGTTTGTGCACGCAGTAAGGACAGACACATACCATTACCTTTGCGTTGACAGAACTGTCAGATGATAGTTAACAGCCAGTTGTCCGAGTGAATAAGGCCAGGGCAATGCAGCCGCCGGCAACACATGCAGCATCAGCGCTCCGTGGCGTGTGTGCACTCAGGCTCCGCGTCGGGGGGAGCCTCCTGATCACGCATAACACTTAGAACCAAATGAGCCAGTGAGAATTGAAATGTGTCCCGAAAATAGCAGTGAATAAAAGGACATGGGGAAGCCCAGGAGGCTGCTGTGCAACTGTCCTCCACAGCCACCCCTCTCAAAAGTGCTGTGGAGGAGGAAAAAACCCTTGTGGATTGAGCTCTGATGCCAGACTGGGGATCTCTCCCTGCTGACACGTATGCCTGTATGATGGCCCCACACAACCAGTGAGACAGCTGCTGCTTAGTCAGGGATTTCCCAAGAGAGTGCCTCCTGTAATGTATGAACAACTGCTGTGTTTGTCTGATAGCTACCATGTGGCCCACATAATGGGACAGTGCGCACACAGAACAGAGAATATGGAGCTCTCTTTCTGATTCGCCTCCGTGTGGAGGAAGAAAAAAAAACGTCCAGGGAGATGACTCTGGATCAAAAAGGCGTAAAGGAGAACTCTAGGCCAGGGGTGATAAGAGAAGGCATCCACCCCTAGTGGAGGCTTGTCTCAGGCGTTCATCGAGAACCAAAGAGAGCACTGCGCATTCTCGCGAGCTGTGAACAGGTCCGCCACTGCTCATCTAAATCTGTCCCACATCGCTTGTATGAGGGACGGATTCAGTTTCCACTCGCTTGGCTGAGGTCTGCCTTGTGACATTAAATCTGTGGTGTGGTTCTGCTCACCTGGAATGTGCACAACTCTGATAGAGCACAGGTTCTGGTGGGCCCAGAGTAGGAGACTCTGTGCTATTTCCAGCAAGCAGGCAGAGCAAACACCACCACGCCGGTTGATGTACGTGATCGCTGTTGTGATGTTCGACCACACCACCACATATTTGTTTCTCAGTATGCTTCAGCACCTTCAGCACCATAGCTAGCTCCAGACAGTTGATGTGGGGGAACGGGGTCTGACGCCACTTCCCCCCACAGCCTGTGGCAGGCATGTGTCTCCCCACCCAAGCAGAGATGCATCTGTGAAGACTGATATGTCTGTATATATTTGTTGAAGAGGGACAGATCGAGGATGGGATCTGCTATGGGATCTGCAACAGGTGCAGCCACATATTGCTATGAATCATGGTCGCCCAGGCCTTCATGCGTGCCTTGCCCATGCGGCAGAGGAGGAGAGGGTCATTGTTGCTGCCATGGCTTTTCCACTTTCCTCCAATGCCTCCGTGGGAAGAGCCCTAGGCTGTGCACTAAAGGGGGGAGATGGACATGGAGAGAAGTGCCATGTTGTTGATTGCTACTGTTACCTGGGATGCACACTGATGAATAGGGTCTGACATGCGGACGCTGACCTGGTCCCATGGTAGTGGAGTTGTAGGCCGTCTCTTGTTGAAGAACACCGCCTTGGGAAGCAAGGGGGGACCGATGGGCCAATGGGAGAGCCAGAGGAGCCAGCGATGGAGGGAGGCGAACCAATGGACTCAGGCCATTTTGCGTTGATCATGCCAAGGAACTCCAGAAGGTCATCCACCGAGAGATCATCACCGCAGTTTGCCCAGCTGCCGTCATCATCAGGGTCATGTTCCCTGGTGGTCGCAAATGCATCAGCCTGGCGCTGCTTCTCCACCGCAGGCAAGCATACACAGAATGGGCAAGCGGCCTGGGGGGAGATTGCCCTTTGTGGGCAGTGGGGATGTGGGCCTCTGGGTAGGATGAAGCCCATATTGCAGCCAGTGCTTAGAGGGCGAAGCCTATACAAAATAGAAATGAAGGGTTTCTTCTAAAGTGTATCAGATTTACTATTTTTCGAATGAATATACTTTATGAGCTTGATTATTGATTGTCACACTCTCCCACACAGACACACAGATGTTCAGGCCCTCAGTGTATGACTGTTAGTATCCTATAATAAATGTGAGCTTTATTTTCTGTAGTATATCTTGCCTCTCTCTCCCCAGTCTCATTTACATCACAGGTTAGGGTGAAAAATTTAAAACCTGAAGCTGTAGAGGCTAGCATAACTATTAAAAGCAATCTGACTTGACTCTAACAAGCAATAATAAATACAGCAACAGTCAAGAAGAGTTGTCTTTTTCCACTGTAATTTCTAAATGTATTTGTGTAGGTTTATTGGCAATGGACATCACAGATAACAATTTCCTCAGGAAGTGCCTACAGATAGGTTTCATGTTCATGAGTTTAGATTTGACTTATATCTTCAAAAGGAGTGTTATTTTTGACTCAAATTCAACTCAAGAATACACTTGACCCTCAAATCTACCATGCCCTTCCAGAAACGCTCTTGGCTTAATCCTGCT